GTGGGGGTGGCATCAGCCTTTTCGCCTTCTGGGGATGCTATGCATTTCTATGACTTAAAGCATCCCAGGGTGTCCACTCGAACCTCCCTGCAGTACTGGAGGAAGAGACTTCTCCATATCTTACATCCTCCGTGCCACTGCCAAGAGTAGGATATTGCTGCCCATCCTGGATGAGTTATGAGGGCCAGCCACCTCTGCGTGGCCCACTGACAGCCCATCTCTAAAAGCAAATTAACTATATTTCTGAAGGGAATCTTACTTCCATACCTGCTTTTGTGCTGAATTCATTGGTGGTGGCTGCTGCCAGCAACAGGAGGTCTGGACAGCTACAGTGGGGGAAGTGGGAGAAAGGTGGTGCTTCTCCTCATCCCTCAGTGTTAGGGTGGCAAATTATCTGACAGTTCTGGCCCATTACCAATTCAGTCTATGTGGGGAGGAAGTGTTGCTTTTCTCTAGGCCTTGCCTGATGGCAGGACACAGCCGGTAGACGCCATCTTATTGGAGGGTCAGAATGTAGCTAGACACTCCCTCAGGGCTTCCTTCAATGCTTTGGACTCTGATGTCAGAGCATTGGCGTCAGCTGTGACCATCAGGGGCATGCATGGCTTTGATCCTCCCCTCCTACCTATGGACGCTCAAAGTCAGCTGGGAGAGCTTCCTTCTGGAGTGGAGGGTCTCTTCAGTGAAAAGACCATTGGAAAAATTAAAGGAGATGAGATCAACAGCTCGATCTTTGGGGTCGATGCCATCTACTCGAAGGAGGCCCTCCAGTCCTCTTGCCGATACCGGAGGCAGCATTACCCCAACCTTCAGTCATCCAGTCACATGTCAACAATGTGCAGCCTCACAGAGCCATTCTGGAAAGAGGCCTTTCAAACAAGGTTCCAAATCTAAATTGCCCCGCATCCTCATCCCAGACAAGTCCACCCTCTGTTTTGGTGAGATCTTTGAGAGTCAAGAACCAACCAACCAGCTCTCTTCTACCGTTTCCTTTGGAGGCAGGCTAGCCCACTTCATCAACACCTGGAAGCAGGTTACATCAGACCAACAGGTCTTGGAGATCATGGAAAAGGGCTATGCCATTCAACTGGAAAGACTGCCTCCTCCCAACTCCCCCTACCCATCCCTCTGCAGGGACCCCTTTCACAAGGCAATCCTCGCAGGCATGGAGAAGTTGCTTCTGGTAGGAGCTGTCAAGGAGGCTCTCGCTTACTAGAGGGGTCAAGGTTTTTACTCCAGGTTATCTTTCTGGTGCAAAAGAAAGAATTGAAGATTTTGGCCAATTCCCAATTTTAAGAGCATCTAGAAGCTTTTGGTTCCATATGCTGACTCTGGCCTCCATAATCCGTTCCCTGTTGGTCAAGGATTGGCTTGTGATTCTGTCTAAAAGATGCATATTTCCAGTCATGATTTGACAAAACCATTGGAAGTCTTCTGTTTGTGATGGCCGGGCACCAGTTCCAGTACAGGGTGCTCTCATCTGGCCTTTCCACAGCACCCAGGGTATTGGCAAAATGCCTGTCTGTCTGTGGTGGTAGCACATCTGAGGAATCAGGGTATTTTTGTTTACCTTTACCTGGAGAGTTGGCTACTGATAGCTGTTGTGCGCGAGGGCCCATTGAGCCCCATAATCACCACAAGTGGTCTACTTCCCCCCCCCCCTTTTAGACCTAGAATTTTTCCTCAACCTCCCAAAGACTATCCTCTGTCTTACACACAGGATTTCTTTTACGGGTGCCATACTGGACTCGGAAGGGAGAGTTTTTCTGAGGACAGATTGTCTCATTCTGAGAAATGTCTATCCTCTGTGTAGGGCAACTTTGAATCTTTGATAAAGTTCTTCCTGGGTCTCATGGGGGGTTATGGCAGCCACTACCTACAGGACTCCATTTGACTGTCTGAGAATGAGACCTATTCAGCACTGGATGTCCCAGGCCTACAGTTCAAGTCGGAACAGTCTTCAGTTGATCACCATGTCTTGGAATGTCGTGGTCTTGCTAGACTGGTGGCCAGCCAGGACAAACCCGCTCAAGGGTGTGCAGTTCAGTTCTATGGGTCCATCCCAGACGTTGACTCCAGCTGCATCAATGGTCAGGGGTGGGGCACTTGAGTCACTTAACAATTTGGGGGTCCTGGTCGTCTTGAAAGAACATTGCACATCAGCGTACTGGAACGAAGAGCAGTTCATCTGGCTCAGTGTGCCCTTCATCTGCAAGGGAAGGGTGTGCAGGCAGTTATGAGCATTACACCGCCAATGCAACATCTCAACAAGCAGGGGGTGCTCATTCCACCCCCTTGTGCGCAGACGTGTTTCTGCCTCAACATTTGTCCTGTAGCCCTATATCTGGCTGGGGAGAACAAATGCGGGATTGCCTCAGCAGAGACTGCTCCTAGATGCATGAGTGGCTCCTGAAGGATCAGCTGTTTCAGACCTTATCTTCTAGGTGTTGTGGACCTGTTCGCAGTAAGGTTCAACAGTGTAGTCATGGGAACATCTCTCTCTCTGATGTCTTCCTGCTGCACTGGAGGAGGTGTCTGATGTATGCCTTTCCTCGACTTCCCTTGGTGCAGAAGACACGTCAGGACAGGGCCAGGATGATACTCATTGCACTGGTTTGGCCTCTCGGCAGGTGGTTTAACAATCTCCTTCAGCTATCTGGCAGTCTTTATGCACCTCCCTCTGCCTCCTGTCCCAATTGGGGAGCAGGATTTTTTTCACCTGGACCTGCAGTCTGTACTTGTGTTCTTCATCTGTGCAGGACATACTAGTTAACTCTTAAAAAATGGTCCACCAGAAATTGCTACCATCTAAAGTGGTCCAGATTTCAGGCAAGGATGCAGAGGAAGTCCTGATTCTCCTAGCTCTGTTTTCATTTCGTCAATGCTTAATGTATTTTGAAAAGGGAAAAAAATCAAGGGTTGCATAACTCATAATTTAAAGGTCCATTTTGCAGCCATCTCCATGTATCTTACTTAGTTGACTGTAGATGGCTGCTTTGTTCATGTTTTGGTTAAAAAGTTTGAGAGATTTATCAAATGTCTAGTCTCCTGTTAGACCCTGCCCTCTTGAGACTTCAGTTTGGTTGTGACCACGTTGAAACAATCTCTGATCAAACCATTGGAGTGTTTGTTTCATCATTTTAACTATCTCAAGGCCTTCATTATTGCCATTAAGTTCACCAGGAGAATGAGTGAACTGAATGCACTCATGGCTGATCCACCTTTCACAAGGACAAGGTAATCTTTAGACCTGATCCTTAGACCTGGTCTTATCAAAGATGACATCAGATTTCTTCCCCCTCCGATTAAATCAGTCAGTTGTATTCACTTTCACTCCCTACAACCAAGCCACATTCTAAGGAGAATCTGTCCTCCATACATTGGATGCTAAAAGGGCTCTCACCTGTTATTCAGACAGAACTAAGTCTTCATATATCAAAGGGGTAGCCATGTTAGTCTGAATCTGTAAAAAGCAACAGAGGGTCCTGTGGCACCTTTAAGACTAACAGAAGTATTGGAGCATAAGCTTTTGTGGGTGAATGCCCACTTCGTCAGACGCCTCTCTTGCTAAGTCTTCATAAAACCTCAAGACTGTTTCAGTTTTTCATATGCTAAGGACAGAGGGCACACGCTTTCCTCCGAGGCTACTGCTGAGTATTACACGCTAGAAAAAGTTCCCGTCCCTGCTTCAATTGGACCAGATTCCACTAGAGCTGTGGCTGCTTCCTTCACTCAGCTGAGGTGGGCACCAGTTGCTGAGATCTGGATTTCAGTGCCCGCTTCCAGTCAGCACTAGGCTCTGGATTTGGCTGCTGGTGGATGCAGGGTTTGGCAAGGCACCGCTTCAGTCTTTGTTCAGCTAGGACTCTGTTCCCGTCTCCAGGGTAGTTTCAGCAGTACCTCTGTCTTTCCTATCAGTCACTCGAATCTATTTCCCCATGTTCAGTATCCTCACACCGTCCTGTCAACTGTCTGGAATGGGCCATCTTGATTATCACTACAAAAGTGTTTTTTGTGTTTTTTCTCCTGCTGATAATAGCTCATCTTAATTAGCCTCTTAGAGTTGGTAGGGCAACTGTGTGTGTGTGTGTGTGTGTGTGTGTGTGTGAGAGATTCTATGCATCCGAAGAAGTGGGCTGTAGCCCACGAAACTTATGCTCAAATAAATGTTAGCCTCCAAGGTGCCACAAGTACTCCTGTTCTGTTTGCGGATACAGACTAACACGGCTGCTACTCTGAAACCAGTTTACAGGTAAGTAACCTTCATTTCTCCTGGTCACTGCGTGGGGCTCTGCTCCAGTCTGACAAACGAATTGCTGTTCCCTAGCATCTGTGGGGAGGGAGACGGGGGTGAGTGTGGAGATCATGGCTTTGGTGTATCATCTCTCCATTCATAAACCGTCCTACGCTGAGCACGTGAGACTAGATCAGTGTGTTGCTGGAACCAATCAAACAGTCCTGTGGTTCTTGTTTTTCAGATGGAGAACAATGGCACCCTGTACTACAAACACGTCCAGTAAGTGCCTCACCGTCTGTCCTGTTGCTTGGACATAGTGGATCAGCCCTGGCCCCACTAAAGAAGCACATGAGAGCTGTGATGATCCCTAATGGGATGCCCAAGCACCTTCCACGCTGCATTGCTTTCATGCTTCTCTCGGTGCTTTGCCTGGTCCAAGCCAGCTTCCCCTACGGGAGCAGGGGCTGATCCTGGGCTCTGCCACTGGCTTACCCATGTGGCCTCAGTCTCATCATCTGTAGCCTAATACCTGTCTCCTGGGGGGGAAAATGACTGTCTCCAGTGTCTAGGTAACACGTGCTGCTCTCTTCTTAGCTGAACCCCCAGCCCTAAGTCCCATCAGCCATGGACACAACAGGGCCCGATTATCTCTGCAGCGCCATTGATGCTAGAGCAGGATGACCCGGTGCCGCATGGAGATGTTAATATAATGGCCAAGTCTCCGATTCCCATCAGATGGTACTTGGGAGGGGGGCTCTTTACAGGGCGTTGTGGGTGAGGAAGGTTTGATCCTTCCTAGGTCTCCCTCCCCATGGCCCAGCTCAGCTGTTGACCGCTGCTTGCTCTGCCAACTCCTTTGTGTAAAGCACTTGCCACTCTGACCCTGGGTTTCTCCAGCCAGTTGTTTCAGCGTGCAGGGCTCCTGGCCAGGGAGGGTGTTCTTAGCCCCCTCGGGGGCCGCTTGTGTGAGATGAGGTCCATCCCCATCTGCTGCATCCCCTTGGGTGGCTGCAAAAGCAAGGCCTGGCACACCAAGGGTTAGTGGAGAGAGGTGGGTGGGGAAGGGTTAGTGGAGAGAGGTGGGTGGGGAAGGGCCTCTGGCGGACATCAGGTGGAAGAACCATCTAGCAGCCAACTGGCTTTGGAGGCTGCCAGAGCCCTGAGGATTGAGCACCTTGAGCCGGGGAGGGGGGGGACGGACACACGGACAGTAACGCCCGTCTTAGTTGAGGATTGGTGCTGCTTTGAGCAGGGGGTTGGACTAGACACCTCCTGAGGTCCCTTCCAACCCTGATACTCTATGACCCCCCACCCCCAGTCATTGTAAAGTGACCGAAACCAGCCTGGCCAAAGGCAGCAAGCCCCTCCCCCGCCCCCCTTGGGGAAGGGCCAGAGATGAATTCCCAGGAGCTGCTGGGAGTGGGGAAGCAGGGGGTTCTCCATCCAGCTCCCTGCAGCTCTGGTGTGTTGCAGGCCCCTGGTGTACACGGTGTCCCTCGTGCTTCCCGCCGCCTACCTCATCGGCCTCTTCTTCACCCTGAAGACTCACTCGCACATCTACGACATTCACATCAGCGACTGCCACAGTAAGTCCCCACCGCGGCCGGCCCAGAGCGCTGGGCTGACCTTTCCTCTGGCCCAGTACAGAAAGATGGATTCTGTGCGCTCTGCTGTCCAGAGCAGGGGACTGGGAGCCAGGACTCCTGGGTTCTATTCCTGGCCTGGCCGCTGGCTCTGTGCACAAAGTGGGGGTGGGACCTGGTATCTGGAACCTGCCCTGGGGTGCTGTGGAAGTGCCTCGGTAGCGCAGTGGGTGGATGCAGGGGCTTTAACCCCCAGACCTTGATGGCAGACTGGAGACCCATGGGGAGCAAAGCTTGGGCAGTAATGTCTCCCTTTCCCTGGAAGGAACAACCCAGGGACAGCTGATCGTGTCAAGAGGCTGCAGCAGTTGAGTGGGGATGGGTAGATGGGGCCTGTTCCTATGGTTGAGCCCAGGTCTGTGCCTAGGGGGGTCTCTGCTCACATGCCTCTTTGCTTTCTTTAGTGCCCGGTCACCATCACAGCGCCGTGGTCCACTGGTCCCGCTGCAGGGCCCTGATCATTCTCCTGCTCTCCACCCTGTGCATGTCCGCCTGCGCTGACCTAGCCACCGAGCACATTAGCCCCATCCTCACGAACTCCACCGTGTCTCAGGTAAGGAGCCTTCTGCCTGCCCAGGTCCACAGGCCTGTGGTGCTGCAGCCACCCTGCAGGGAACCACAGCGGCATGGAGAAGTAGCCCCGTAAAGCCTGGATTGGAATACATGGGGCTAAGCCTCAAACCCAGATCAGGCTCTAGGGCCCGATGCCGATCTCACGATGAACGGCATTCCTTTGGAATCCAGCCTGACGGCCCCAGTTAAAGGACTTGCCAGACACTCGGCCGATGGGCCATGTAACCGGGTTGATTGGTAGGTTTGGATTTGGGGCTGCTTCGTGACTACCAGGAAGAACCTGGACTTAATACAGGCCTTAACCAACAAGTTCTCTCTCTGCAGAGAGCTGGGCTGTGGTGGTTTTCAAGCTCCCTTTCATGAGGCTCCCATGAGGTTCAGTCTCTACTCCCTGCATTGGCCCCTTCCCTGACAGGCAGGCGAGCCGGGGTTGCTGACGCCCGAACTTCTGAAGGGGAAGCCTCCGGCTCCGTCACGGGAGAGTTGACAGCGTTTAGTCACATGACTGGGTTTGAATGGGGCTAGTGCACTGAATGTTCTGTGTCGGACCAGGAAGGCTAGTTCATCATAAGAACGGCCAGACTGGGTCAGACCAATGGTCCATCTAGCCCAGTATCCCGTCTTCTGACAGTGGCCAATGCCAGATGTTCATTCCCTCTGAAACACAGCAGGTAATCATCAAGTGATCCATCTCCTGGTGTCTACTCCTAGCTTCTGGCAGTCAAAGGCTTAGGACAATGGCTCTCAACCAGGGGTACAACTAGATGACCTCCTGAGGTCCCTTCCAACCCTGATATTCTATGGTGGTGAAGCACTGGAATGGGTTCCCTAGGGAGGTGGTGGAATCTCCTTCCTTAGAGGTTTTTAAATCCCGGCTTGACAAAGCCCTGGCTGGGATGATTTAGTTGGAGTTGGTCCTGCTTTGAGCAGGGAGTTAGATATTCTATGATTCTAGGGGTACGCAGAGGTCTTCCAGGGGGTACAGCAATTCCTCTAGATCAGTGTTTCTCAACCTGGGGGTTGCAACCCCCAGGAAAGTCAAGGGACCGATTTAGGGGGGTTGCAAGTGCAGGGCCAGCCTTAGGGGGTGGCAAGCAGGGCAATTACCTGGGGCCTCACACCACAGAGGGCCCCGCAAAGCTAAGTTACATGCTTCCGCTGCAGGCGGTGGGGCTCTGGCTTCCGCCATAGGTGGTGGAGCAACAGGAGTCTGGAAAGGTTGAGAACCGTTGGCTTAGGACACCCAGAGCCTGGGGTTGCATCCCTGACTGTCTTGGCTAGTAGCCATTGATGGACCCATCTTCCATGAATTTATCTCATTCTCTTCTGTACCAGAGTGCCTGCCCTGCCAGGTGGGGAGGGGGAAATAGCCTCTAGAGATAGCAGTCTGTGCTCTCACCCCTGGAGGGCAGGGGGGGACTCGAGCTGGTCACCATTGTTCATGTAGTATCCCCTCCGGTTGGATGCATTTCTGAAGGGTGCACTTGCCATGTGAGGATGCTCCGTAGAACCCCATGGAGACACGACTTCATGCCCTGTTCCCCTGGGGGCCCTTTGCTTCGGCTCTATGCCCACTCTAGGATAGCAACTCCCCCAAGGAGCTAATGTTCTGAAAGGCTGTGAAATCGGTCTCTGTAGGAAGGGATGGGTGAGGGATAGCTACAGGTAACGGGAGCTCACTGCTCCACGGAGAGCAGCCCTGGCGTGGCTGTGGCGTTCACTAGCTCTGTGCTGACTCACTCTTGCTCTCCTTGGCAGTATTTCATTGGGGTGACCGTGCTGGCTATGGTGCCCGAGCTCCCTGAGCTAGTCAATGGAATCCAGTTCGCCCTGCAGAACAACCTAAGCTTGAGGTGAGTGAGTCCCCTGAACCTGGCAGGGCTTCTGCAGTAGCTGGCGTGAGTTGCCAGAGGCTAGTCCTAGCCCATGGCTTCAAATAGAGCAAATGGATAGATGCTGAACTGGTCACCGTGTTCCCTAGCAGGAAACTCCCTTTAATGATCTGAGAGGTTGGGACATGTGCCTAGTGCTCTAGTTCACCCAGGAGCTGCCCCTGTCCGGAGTTGACCGTGGGGACCACTTAATCTGATGCACCAAGTGACTCTCCAGTGTTGGCCAGCAGTGGATTTCCATGTGGAGGTGTCGGTAGCTCTCCACTGCTCGCTGTAATAAAGTCTTGGCTTCTCAGGAGGGTATTTAGGGGAAAGCCATCTGCTCCTTGTCTCAAGTTATTTAAGCAGAGCGGGTCCAGTCTTCCTAGAGCCTTAAATGTCTAAAACGGCCCATTACAAACTCCAGGGTGAAGTATCCCAGATCTCCCCCCTCCCAGCAATTGGAGATGCACGAAGCAGGGCCAGCCTGAAAGGTGCTGCTGGGTATTTCTTGGTGCACTGCATCTCATACTGGTCCCTTGGTGGGAAGGTGTCCTAGTAGAGTCCGTGGGACAGGATTTACCTGGCCTGCAGCCCATGTTGGAAACTGATCCCAAAAAATCATTTTTTCCTATTGAAATCTAACATGCGCCTCCGGCACTGCTCAAGGGTACACAGCGCTGCCCCTTCCTGAAAGCTGGGCCCCCTCAAACTTGCGACCAGAGCGGGCAGAGTGCAATATAATGAAACGGATCCTCCTCTTCCACGCTGGGCTCTAAACACTTCTGCGAGACGTTACTTTAAGATCACACTTCAGCAAAAAAAATCTTGGCTGTTCTGGTATTGGAAGAGCCAGTCTGTGAAGTGCCGGGTGCTGTCACACTTGAACTAAGGTGCCTGCACTGGATGATGATCCAGGGGGCTCTGCGGGCGGTCTAACCCCTCCTCTTGGAGAGGGGTACAACTCTAATGCTGTGTTAGAAGCCTCGAGGGCAGGTTAATTGATGGTGTCTCTGCTCCTCCTCCCTAGTATTGAGATTGGGAGCTGTATTGCTGTCCAGGTCTGCATGCTGCAGATACCCATCCTGGTGCTCTTCACAATCTTCTACGTAAGTAACGGAGCTGGAGCCAGACTTCATGGTTCCTACTGGTTTCTCCACTTTGCTAGTGGCCACTGGGGCTTTGGGGCAGGAGGAAGTACCCCCTGGTTGCAGGGGTTTGGGACGGTTGCACGCCTGGGACTGTTGCTCAGATAGGAACATCGTGCTAGTGTTGGCGAAAGGTACTGGAGAAATGGTGCGACTGAGCTACGCGAGCCTTAGCGCAGGAACGGTGTGGTTCCCCCCACCAGCATCTCTGATTTTTTGGAGAGCCAGTCGTTAGTCCCCAGTGTCGCAAGCAGTGGGCTGACTGCACAGTCAAATTAACTCCCTCACTGTCTCTAACATGCTCATTAGCTTTTTAAAGGGGAGCAGATGGGACAGCTGAGATTCTGGTTCACACGTATTAGCAAGAGTGATGAAAACCTGGCTTTTTCCCCCCTGTCCAACAGGGATTGGGAACGTGGCAGGTTAATACATTTTTTTATCCTGATCATTGACTTTAAAATACTAAGCTTCCTGTGAGGGTTTTTGTACTATGTGCATAGCTGTCCACACCGCTGCAGGTGGAGTGTATAGCCCGTGGGTGGAAAACAGTCTTTCAAGAGTCTCTGGGTAAGGAATTGGGACTGTCTAAATAGGCAGAACAAGTTTTCTGAATTCACTGCGACTGTCCCTGCAGGGCGTAACCGTGGCAGACATGCCTAGGGTTTAAAAGCTGCTCTCTACCTTTCCACAGCCTACCGGTTTCATACTGGTCTTCAGTGACCTCCATGTCTACTCCAGCATGTTCAGCGTGGTTCTCATGAACTACATCTTCATGGATGGCAAGTGTGACTACTTCCAAGGTAACCGTCCATGTGGGCCAGTCTTCTCCTCCCGTGAGAATTTTAATCCTATCCAACTCCTCCCATAGCCGCTCACAAACGTCTCCACGCTTCCTGAGCAGTCTCCTTCAGGGACAGGGGTTGGCAGTGTAGAAGGGGTATCACTGTGTCCCATGTCTGTTTCTGACTCCATATCCGATTTGCTCTAAGCTTAAAAAGTCTTAACTGCAATCTCACCCTGGGAGCAGAGTCAAGAGAGGCCCTTTCATTTGTGTTAATCTCCCCACTAGAAGTTCCAGACCACCTGATCATTCATGATGTGGTGGGTGTCCGCAGTTAACTGGCCCAGTAACTGGAACTTATGTCTGTTGTCCCAGGAGTGGTAGAATCCAGGAGCAAAGTGGATTCTTCTAACTGGTAGATGACTCAATCCCCACAGGAAGCCGCTCCAAAGAGGGTTTTGTCATGACCTGCTGTTACCTGGCTCCCAAATGTGGGCTTAAACTGTCCCTTAACTTTGAGATGCAGTGTGGTTTCACCACCTGGAGCACTTGTCCCAGTGTGAACTTCCAGATTCTGTCCTGAGCAGACTGGCAGCTGCTCCATCTAGTGCAAAACCCACCTTCCCAAATCTTGTTCACTGCTGAGTGTGTGTGTGATTCCAGCCCTCTAGCTCCTAACCATGGCGGTTCTCACTCCCCCAGGTACAGTGCTGGTGATGGTCTACTTCATCCTCCTAGCTGTGTATTTCTTTGCTCCTTCCCCTGCTGGCTGCTGAGGCCTGACTCCATGGACCTTGTGTTCTCATCTTGGGAGAAGGCTCCCCTGCCAGGGCAGCTTCTGTTAAGAAATGTTGAGTGTTTCTCAGGGACTCGGCTGGTCTGGTTTTACTCTAAAACCATTTTGTTGCATGAAGCTAAAGAACCTGCCACCGGAGTTTGTTTTTCCATCAACAGCTGTTTTAAAAGATGGGATTGAATTGGGAATTGCTAAGCACTGGAAAAGGGGGGTGTTTTGCTAGTCTGGTCACTCCTTCTTAACCCAAGAAGAAGCCTTAATGCCAGAAAGCGTCCTTGTGTACCAAAGTGCAGCTCAGTGTGGGAGTGTGGCTAGAGGGAAATCTGTTGTTGGCAAAGGTTTTTGAGGAACAGAAGAGTCCTCCTTTTAGACTCTGAAGGATGCACTGTTCTCCTGCTGGGAAAGAGCGCCTTGGAGAGGGCACCAGTCTTGAAACAGACCTGAAAAGAGCTGTCTCCTGTCCTCCCAGGATAGAATGCTACCTGATTGTCATGGACATGGCCACCTCTAACTCGGGCCTGTACAAATAACACAGGTGGTTTTTTGCTGTAACTTGAAATGAACCCTGTTTTTTCCCAACTGTACTGATTAAAGCAGTTTTGTACAAGCTTGGTCTGGTCCTGTGTCTAAAGGGGCAAACAAGGGTCTCTGCAGCCAGCCACATGCAGGGATGTGGGAAATTGTAGTTGACTGACCTATCTGAGTTCTTCATGCCACTACCCTACTCAGGGACAATACAGGTTCTTAGGCCTGATGTTCACAGGGCTGGTCTACACGGGGGGGGTGGGGAAATCGATCCAAGATACTTTGACTTCAGCTATGCTAGGGTTACCATATTTAACAAATAAAAAAAGAGGACCCTCCACGGGGCCCTGGCCCTGCCCATTTCACACATCAG